GTACTTACATGTGAATGCTTACTAAGGAATGATACTGTTAGATTCGTCTTTTTCATAATGCGAGTAATACAGGCCAATGCAATTCAAACTTCAGTATGAATTGTTAATAGAAGTTTTGAAAATTATAAACGGGTTAGAAATCCAAAGGCTCTGCTCGAAAATCAATCGAGTGAAATAACGGTTAACATGGCGCAGCTAATCACAAAATTATTTACTATTAATTTTCCGTTGAGCCAATTATTAAATTATGACTGTATGCTAATAAGTAACGATAACATTTATAACAATTTTAACATGTGCATTATAAACTACTATACATAGATTAAACTAAGGACTAAAGGGGGAGGACTTTGTTTCCAATGGCACGCGCTAAAAACTAACTACTCTCTAAGCTCATATAATACAACTACATACATACAAATACATATGTTTATAGTATTTACAATCGACTTATATACGCGAATTATTTCTATCCCCTTCCACCGTCCAAACAGTGGCGGTTAGTGGTGAACGTTCTTTTTTATTTGATTCATCATTCTCATCAACTCCAGCCATGGCAAGATTAGCTTTGTTGTTTTCCTTCGGAGGCTGCAACAAGCAAGTACAGATGCCACCGATTATAGTGAGCACAGCGAATGCGGTAAGCGAGAGAGCTGTATCGCTCTTCCTTAGCAGATTGATGAACGGAGCGCTTAGCAGCCAAATGCGTGCCCATGTGACGACAGAGAAGGCAAATGGTTGCTTCTTATTCGGTGGCATTACCTCGGCCATGCAACCCTGCATCATAGATTGAGCACAAGAGACGCTCATTTTGGGCACAAGGGCGATTATCATCCATAGAGCGACTTTGAGGTGTGGATTCACTAGAAATAGACAAAGAAAAAAAAATTGATGAAAAGGTAGGGAAAGAGAGAAGGGCATGTAATGGAGAAATCGAAGAGTGGTTTACGAAAAAAAGTTTGTAGTTTATCCCCTAGTTTTAAAGCTTACTGTGAAAGGATTTTGGCGTCATAAAATTTTTCATCCCTTACACTTTTCAAAAAGTTCTAGAGTCCTCAAAAATACCTTTAAAATAATCTACCACTACGTGGAATCGTAACAGTTATTTGTGAGTGGAGATACCCCGCAAGGAGGAGCTTCGTGGTGGGCACTGAGCGTTTTCTTATAAGAATTCCTACGCGTCACTCCTTTGTGCCTTAACACCCTCCATTATCCTTCTCACGGTCCTGTATCTTTCTCCTTCTCCTCTTAAGAGCACCACAATGAACAGCTTAAATCTATGTCTAAGTGCGCCTTTACCTACAGAGATGGCCCTCTTACCTAACCTAAAGTTGTGTCAAAAAGCTATGAAGAAAACTTCATTTTGCCTCTTTCTAGGACTTGAAAATGACGCAAATTTTTATTTCACCAGATTATCCCAAAGTAAGCTTTAACCCTTTGGTGGTACTTATAACTCTTTTCCTTGGATTGAGTCTTAGCCCGATCTAAAGTATAGACGCATTTGTTTCTTATTTTTAGAGCTTATTTTGTGAAGCTTGTTAGTTAGCTTTCGTATACTTACAATTGGCGTGCGTAAACGTCCAACCGAGGCAACCCACGAGTCCCGCGATTATATTGAAACAACCGGCGTACATAAACTTCCTCTTACCGAACTTCATGACGAAATGTAGCGCTACAAAACAGCCAATGATTTCAGCGACACCTGCAAATTAAATGCAAAAGATTGTCAACGTTAGAAATCAACTTTCGATCAAACTTTCGCTACAGCTTTCACACTTACCCATCGCAATAGTGTTCGGCACCCGATAGTCACGACCGAATGAGCGCAAATTCAACAACATGCCCATGTAGTTGACAATATAGCAAGCAAGTGCTATGTGCGCCGCCAACATGTAATGTATACTACGTGGACCGCGCCACAGCTGTAGCCATGTAGCCGGTGGCTTCTGTGAACGCAATGTATTGCGTAACTTCGTCAACTGCTGCCGAAAGTCATCCGGCATGAGGAATGTGCGTTCGTTGATGTCCACAGCCTTGCGTATCATGCGCTCCACGCGATAGACATCGTGGTCGTTGCCATTCTTCAACAGCCAACGCGGTGACTCTGGTGTCCATTGCAGCAGGAACAATAGCACAATGGTGGGGAATGTAATGCCCAAGTAGAGTTCGTTCCAACTTTTGAAGAACGACGAAATGCCCGGCAATAGTATTACGCCCAACGACCAGAAAGTGTCGTAGAGTATGATGACACCGGTGCGATAGCGGCCGCCAGTGATGTCGACAACTGTGAAAGAAATTGGCAGGGAAATGTTGACATTCGCACTCTTTTGAAGTTCGCACAAACTTTTACTTACATATCGCTTGCGCCGAGGTGAACATGAGCGCGCAACCGACAGCTGCGAGGCAACGGAAAAGGCAATGCATTGATAGATCTATTGAATAGCCGGTAGTGACGCCCAAAATGATCTGCAGTACGGCGCCGATAATGTATACCGTGCGCGGGCTGAGTCTGAAAGGGTTGCAAAAAAATTGGAGACAACGTTAGTTTCTGCACTTGGCGTCTTGGTAGCACCACTGCACCACTTACTTCAGCATAGCTTTGGTGCCTAATACGCCACCCACCAGCACACCAAACAGATGCCAATATTGCGTCCACGCCACAAAAATTTCACGCAGGCAAACCAAATTGTACTGGATGATGAGCGAATAGAAGTTGTCGTCGTAGTCGAAACGCGTGCATGGCTTTCGCGCCACACTGGCGCTAGCGTCCTCTAAATAGCACTGATCCTCCGATATCGTCTGATTTGCGCTCACCTGAGTTGAGTCACAGTAGTACTGCGTGTTCGGCTTAATTTCCGGCGCTGTATATATAATACAGGCCATAAACCAGGAGGCGGGTAATTTGCACAAAAATAGTATCAGCACCGAGCGCAACTGCCAGATGCCGAAATCGCCCAACATACTACCGATTATGTCGGTGCCTGGTGCGAAAGCCGGTATGGGCGCCGCTGTTGGCAGCGCGGACAGTCCTGCCTCGCCGATAATTTTACCACGCACCACCGCATTGATTTGTGGTGTGCGTGGTGGCGTATTTGGGAGTATTGGCATCGTTGTTGGCGCATGCGCTTCTATACTATTGGCGTCGCCAGGCGTCATGTAAACGCTGGCATTGTGGCGATGCATCATTTGTGGTGTTGCAGTGGGTGTTAATGAGGCAGAGAGCCTATTCATGTTATTGTTGGCGTGGTTACCATTGTTGTAGTTTGCTTGTTGCTGTGTGCTGTTGCTTTGTAAGCTTTGGCTGCTGTTGTTGCGTTGATTAAATAACTCGGGACTCATCACCTTTGGATTTTGTTGTTTTTTCTGGTTTCTCTTAGTTTTTGGCAGTGTTTTTTGGTGTCAGAAATGCATATTACTTAAGTAAACGAGTAAAAGTTATAAGCAGGGCAGTTTGGAGGGTCTGAAAAAAGAAAAAGAGCGAATTGTAAAGTTTGATTTGGATGAAATTTAAAGTTACAGAAACTTAGTTAATGTTAAAGGTAAATTTATATAAAGACTCAGATGCTTAAAAACAACTTAACAGGGCAGTTCTGACAACTATCTTGAAAGCTCTTTTCTGTCTTTTGAGAGCGAGATATATCTGCCATTGAGGAGGTCTTAGCGTTATTCTGTTTTTCTTTTAGCAATAAGTTTTCTAAAAATTATATGAAGTAAATTAAAAATATTTTTTTCTTTTAAAACCAAAAATCAAAATAAAATTAAATGTTAGAAAATTAAATGGAAAGGGAACAAGAAAATATAAAAAAATAAAAAATATATATTTTTTCAATACAATCAAAAATTTAAAAGAAAATTAAGTTATAGAATAAAAAAAATCGATTTAAAAAATTAAATCTAATTACAAAAAAAAAATTGTATTTGAACCTTTTGCAATGCAAATGACCTAATTTTCATGAACAAAATTCTTTAATTATTCAATCGCTTTTTCTTAAAATTGACTAATCTCTTTTATTGGGTCAAAATGACCCAAAACATTATAAAAATTCCAAACACTGCAGAAGGGTCACAACAAAATCTAAATATTAAAAAATGGAAAATCTATAAAAAAAATTCAATAAGTTTCTAAAACTTAATTGCAATTAAAATTATTTTCTTTTTAAAGCAATTAATTTTAAAAATGAAACGAAAATTTAATCAAGAAAGTAAAAGATTTAAAAAAGGAAAATTAAAAAAATTCATAAAATTTATATGAAATTAAAAAAAAAATAATAATCAAAAGAGGAAAAAATAATTTAGATAAGCTTTTAAAAATTAAATGGTAGTAAACAAATTGTTTTTATTATTAAAAAATACAATATTTTTTTAACCCTGGTATGGACCCAAATTTTTGTTTCAAATTTTGAAAATTTCGTGTATGGATGTGTTTCTATGATGCACGTGAGAGAATATAACCCTTTATATGCTTAACACGTGTTGTTAAATCAAACTATTCCGGAAAATATTCAGCCGACTTTATCCCGCTCCCATCCGATTTGTTTCACAGTGTACATAATTTCTTTGGCTTAAATAAAGTTTAACGCAGCGTATTGTCATTTTCGGGTGTGTCACAACTGGAATTGGTTTTTGCTCTTATTATTTGATTAAAATTAACTTAAAATCACCGGACAAAAATGATCACGATATTTACGATATTTACCTAAGTGAATCATCATTTTTAAAGGAAAAGTTTTTCTTCATTTTTGTCTGCAGGTAATTGCTTCAATATAGTCAGTCGCACGCACATAAGTGCACACAAATTATTGCGAAAGCTCATTGGTTATTGTGGGTTTTTACAGCCCAAAATTTTAACCACTCTTCGAGAAAATTGTTAATTGCATACATACAAACATACTCGTATAGCATGCATTAATGTGTGTGTATATATATATATATCCGATCGACGATGACAAAGAAAGACACATTTGTTTTTGTTGTTTGAAAAAAAAAACAGCACGTGCAGCGTTCAGGTTTTAAGTAGCGTGCCAAATTTCAAATAATCGTGTCACTTTTCAAAAGTAACTCAAGTCAGCTACTTACAAAATTGTGTCGCATTCATTATAATATATAATTATGAATAATTTGGCAAAAAAAAAATCGCAAGGTTACCGCATTTGATAGAAGTATAGCAGAAATATCTTATGCGGTATTTAATCTTTTCTGTATGCTCATTAATTACGTCGATATTTACGCGTAGCAGTCTTGAAATATTTCGAAGAAGATTTATAAAAACACACAAATACTATTTAGCATTGAGAATATTTTCTTTTGTTTGTTATGAAGTTTTCTCATAAAAACGGCCAACGACTATTTTTAAACCATAATCATCTTTCATCTTAATAACAATTCATCATAATGTTAAAATTACAACAAGGTTTATGACTTATACGATTAATTACTTTTATTGAATGCGAATGACGCACTCGAGTTAATGTATCCTTTATTAAAATATCACAAAATTCGATGTTGTATGCATTTCTGAGGGGAAGGACGACTAAATATACAAAATTTAAAAAAAAGTGGAACAGTTATTGAGATACAGCCATATTTTTTGGAATCTGAAAAGAGGGCTAAACTGAAATTAATTTTGAAATTATTAAAGCTTATCAAATTTGTTATCTCCTAAGTCAATAACGTTTTTCAACTGGATTAGTAGTTTAGGAGCTATAATTTCAAGTTTGCCTAATTTTTAACGAAATTTCAAAAAAAAAAATTCCGGGATAAATATCGTTACGAATGCATTTGATTTCTCTCGGTTTCTTTCTTGTATTTAAAAGTATGATCTTTCATAAAAATAATATGGCCCATACAAATTACTAGGGCCCCTAGTGACTACGTACCGCAACAGTTACAACTTTTATTAAAAAAAATCGCTCTTCAACACTTATTTTTTTACTTTTATTCAATTACTCCTTAAATAACAGTTATTTTATATTTTTATTTTATAAATCCAAAATAATGATTATGTTTTATTTTTATCTAAATAATCTGCAAATAAGAGTTTAATTTTGATTTCGATGTCTCAGATGACAGTTATTGAAGACTCTTATTTATAAAAGTCATAAATAAAAATCAGTCAGTGACTTTTACTTTTAAAAGTCGTCAATATAAATCAGTCACTGACTTATTTTTTTAACCATACCTCTAAAAGTCATTAGTATTAGTCGTTGTAAACTTTTGTTTTGCAACACCCTCTTAGATGCGAAAAATGATAATGACTTTATACGTATGACTTAAAAAAATAAAAGTCGGTGACTGATTTATATTGTTGACTTTTAAAAATAAAAGTCACTGACTGTTAGATGATTTTTATAAATAAAAGTCTTCAATAACTGTTGTCTAAGACATATAATATGAATATAAAAAGTAACTGTTATTTGCAGATTATTTAAATAAAAGTCAAAAATAATTGTTATTCTAGATTCATAAAATAAAAATCAAAAATAATTGTTACAAATAAAAATTTATTTTAAAATTTGATTCTCGGTGAAAAAATAAAACGTAGAACATTTCCTTCATAGTGAATTTTTCAATGATAGTTTTCATCAATAACTGTTATCTTCGGTCTCTGACTAGGGCTATTCATTCAACGTCACAAACTACCGATAAACGTCAAAAAATATAAATTTTGTATCGAATTTGTAATTTAGTAGAGTTTATCGGCAGTTTATCATGTTTCATAAGAAAATATACTTTTTTTTTTGCTATCAAAATTTTTTAATGCACAGAAATAGTAAAAATTTAGGAGTCGTTGATACAAAACGATATAAGCTAACAGCGAATTGTTTGTGCAAACACGTTATGAAAATCCATATACATACAGTCTTGTGCAAAAATGCCACCAAATTTGTTTTATTTAATTTTAGGTATTCAGTTTCTTCATTTTTTAAGCAGTAGGTTCGTGTTTCTTATCTACAATTCTAAGATATTTATATAAGAAAATAATATTTTTTGTTTAAGAAATCCGGCGGTTTTGGCAGTTTTTTTGTGGCTCAATATTAGTATTATTCCCTGTAAGGGAATTACATTAGCTTTCAAACCCATTTTATTTGATATAAAAACTTTGCCGCTACCAAAAGCGGTACGATTAATTCGCATAGAGTGTTGAAAATTCACACTGTGCGCCGTCAACAAAAAAAAAAAGTTTATTCAAAAATCAACGATATTTTGTAGACACTTTAATTAGAAAATCCTCGTCGTGTAATTTTGTTGAATTTTTCAAATTTTTGTACAAAGTTGAAAATTTGGATTTACAAGGATTTTGTTGGGTCGTATCATTCTGTCGCGGCGTGTAAAACAGATGTACATAGTAACAGGAATTCCTTAGTTTTAATTAAAAACTTTTTAAAAAAATACTGTACTGTAAAATTTTTTTTTTTGTTTTTTACGGAGATACTTCGAAACAGAATTTTTTCGCAATGATATACAGTTTTTTGTGTATATATGTATATCTAACTAAATATCTTAATCTAGTAATACATAAGGATACGCTTGCACTATCACATTAATAAACACTCACATAATTACTCAAATATAAAATTTCCGTTACACTCATTTGTCTTACTGTTTTAAGTACTCGTACGTTAATTCACAGTCCTAATTCCTTCAACTGCTGTATTGTAACTAACTCAGGGCGAAAGAGCCACTGTCGGCTTTTGAGCTCAAATCGAAGGTGACTAATTTGGATTGCTACTAAAAAAAAAAGTGTGTGGTTTCAAAGAAATTCAAGAATGGAATATCAATTACAATAAAACATAAATGAAAAAGAAACAACATACATAAATAAATAAAACAAAAAGCTTAATTAAAAACAAGCCATTGTGTGTCGAGCAACACTTCAAGATGTTTTGACATTTTGACGTAAGAGCCAGCAATTACAAGGCAATATGGGCAAGTACATACTTATGTATGTATGTATGTATGTATGTATGTACGTAAGTGCATGCAGTATGCACTGGTGTAAATCAGTGAGAATTCCGGAATTTCACACGAGTATTTTGATTGCTATTGCATTTTTATTTGCCGGTTGCTTGCCCAAATATAGCGTAATAAATAAATAAAAAAAAGAACAGCGCCATAAAGTATGTTCGTATGGAAGTATATCACAAAGGCAAGGAAATAAAATGATCATTATTTATGTATTGGCGTATTTGTAAGTGAATTTGTTTTTGTAAATTAAATTGATAAGCGATTCTTGAAATCTGTCGCATTGATTGCGATTTGCTTAAGTCGAGAGCGCAACAATGATTGCCTTGGTTTAAGATTTACATATGTACAAACAATCATATTTACAAATACTTATATGTATATAGACATACATACATATCGCCTCCTGAAATGCCAAAAGACGTAACAAACAACGTCGCTGAAATTCAAAAGGTCGTAACTAATAAAAAAATTCAAAATTGAGTTTTTGATTGATATGATGGATTTCATCGAATTACAATT